ATTTTCATTGTATCAAATGGGATATTAAATGTTCTGTTAACTTTGTTCAGAAAGTAGAATTTAATCCATTATTGGGCAAGTGGGTCTACTTTCCTTTTTGTTCATGAGCCTACCTGGTCCAACAAGGGGAAGGTATGAGTGAAGATAAATGGGATGTTATATATGTTATTAAAGGTTAGCATCTTAATTTAAAAATGTTAATTAAAAAGAAAAACTAAAACTAAAACATAATTAAAGAAATTAAACGGTATTACTCCCTCTATCTTAGATTATAAGACACTTTTAAATAAAATTTTATATATTAATAAATTTCATTAAATACACTTAATAGCTTTATCTTTTCAAAATAAAAATATAAACTTTTTAAAATACCCATCATTTAATATATTTAAAAAAAGTAATGAAAATTAATTATAGAGAGAGAAATGATAATATTAAAATTAGTGTATTTAATAAAATTTTAATTTACTCAAAGTGTTTATATTTTAGGATGGAGAAGCTTTTTCAAAAGTATTACTTCGTTTCTATTTATAAAAGAAAACTACCACTTTTTTCTTTTTTATAAATAAATAAAATCACATATTTCAATAAATATCTATTATATATTTTTACAATTATTTCTCATAATTTATATTAATAAAAAGTAATAATTCATACTTATATTGATTAACATATGACATTTTAATTTAATTTTTTTATTTTCAAACATAATTATTATAATTAATTAATTTTATTAAATTGTATGATACAGTTATTTTTATATATGAAAATGGATAGAATATTTTATTATTTGAAATAGAAAGAGTATTTTATTGTTTTTAAAATTAAATAAAGGGCCACATTTAATAATAAGTATAATGCTGGCAGAAGCAGAATCAATCATCTCACAGGCTTTAATTTCTTCTTTCCAACCAAACAAGGAAACGAAGGGGATAGGACAGCGGATCGAATGAGGTGCTGGCGTTATGATGCATTTTATTTTATATTATCTTCATATTCTCGCCCTCTCTAGTTTTATTTATTTACTTGGGTAAGCATCTAATTTTATTTACTTCTTTATTTTTATTTATAAATTACTTTTAATATATTTTATTTAAATTTAATTTTATTAATTTTATTAAATTTTTCTTAAAATTTAATAAATTTTTACTTTTATTTTTAATAAATATTTTTAAATTTTAATTTATTATTGATATTTTTATTCAAAGCATTTAATAATGATAAATATATAAAAACGAGTATTGAAAATTAGCAAGGGTTCAATAAATAAGATTAAATTTTTTTCTCTCTTTATCCTGTAAATAGAACTAAAAGAGTATAAGTCAAGTACTTTCAAATATATTTTTAAAAAAATAAAAAACACTTTAAGATAGTGTTTGAAAGTTTTTTAGGATCAAGTATAATGACTAGAAATTTTGTAATATCATTTGAGAGAAATTTTTTAAAAGAAAATGAAATAATTTAATATTGCCTTCCAACTCATTCTTAGCCTATTATTTTTCTTGACCCCCTAATTTGAGGGTCAAGGCAAAATGACCAGATATAAATTGTATTATTATAAAAATACCCTCATCTTTTTCACTTCCCTTCCATTAAAATTGGAAAAACATAATTAATTCAAATTTATTAATTTTATAACAATTAAAATTAAAATTTTCATTGTCCATTCTTCTAATATAGTTCACCGCGTCTCTTCACTTCACTCCATTCCATTTCATTAGAAGTTGTTCCATTCCATCCTATAGTCTCAAACATATCCTAAAATTCATTAACTATGATCAAAATTTAATAAAATTTTAATTTTTATCTATTAAATATACACACACTTTAATAGTATACTTTTTTTCACCAATATTTAATAGAAGGTAAAAAATAAATTTATAATAAAAAGTCAATAGCATACATGCCTTGTAAATAGAATAAAAAAAATCATTCCCTTTCGTTTATAAATAGGAGGATAGAATAAGGTATATACATTATCTTTCATTTCTTTCTCCCGGGGGTATAATGGCATAAGAAAATTCAAGACCAATTAAAATGCGCCAACTCAAACAAATTGAATCTTATGTGTATCATTTCAATCATGCTATTTTAATGATCCATTGAAAAAAAGTTGATCTGCTGTTCAAAAGCAAAAGGAAAGGGAAAAAGAAAAACTTGGGTTGGGGTGATGGCAGGAACCAATTCAACACGTAAAACATTTCCCATTATGAATTTCTCGCTCTCTCCCTTGCCTTTCGCACAACGAAAGCCCCCTTCTTCATCAGGTTGGATAATATGAGGAAGCATTTGGAATTTATTTTCTCGGAACCACGTCAATGAGAGTAGAATGGAAGAGAGAGTAAGAAATTTTCTGAGCGAAGTTTCAATAATTCAACTTTGAAACTTGGGAGGGATAATTCATTGCCGGCCGATGCAAGTGGGGGAGACATAGTTCTAAATTAATTTATTCAAATTAGAATTATTTACATATATTGACAAGAAGATGGAGATCATATGACAAACCATAGGATTAAATTAATATATGAATTGATACGATGAGATTGAATAGCGTACAGAAGATTTGTTGCTTTCCTATTCTTAAAATTTTTATCATTGACCTAGTCCTTCTTTATAAAGGAGACACGCATCCATGCACGCACGCTAACTATGTTAATATTAAGTTTGAATTTAAGATCTCTTTTAAGAGAGAGAAGTAATGTTATCATTAGAATAATTGATCATTGACTTGTTGCTCTCGTATTCGTAGTAGCTAAGAATTTCTTAATTTCAAAAATAATTTCTTAATTTAAATAAAAAGATAAAATAATTTTTTAGTTTTATTTTTTAATTTAAAAATATTTGCTTAAATAATAAGATGATTCATGCTTCTTTCTTTTGTAAGAATATAATTGGAAAGTTAAAATATTTTTAACAAATAAAACAACTTAATAAATAAATAAAACTGAGAGTATTTTAGCATCCTATAAAGTAAATAAAAGTTTGAATGCTTTTTAGTCAATGAAAGAACCTAAACTTTTTTCTTAAACTACGGAAAACATATCTTATTTTATAAGATATAGTGTGTATTTAATTTTTAATTTGTTAAAAGTTAGTTTGATAAAAGTTCATTTAGTAAAAATCAGTTTAAAAAAAGTCAGTTGTTGTAACAAAATTTGTGTTTGGATATATTTTATTAAAAGTCAGTTTGACAAATTAAAAGTTGTTTGGATTAATAAAAATTTAGACTTTTAAAATGTACTTTTGAATATATAATAATTAAAAAGGACATTGATGTAATTATAAAAATTTTATTATACAATGTAATATATTAAAAATGTTAAAAATGTAAGGATAAAAATATAAAATTTAATATTGGAATAAATTATGTAATCATTTTACTATTTATGTATTTTATTTATTTATTTATTATTTATTTTACTATTTATGCATTTCATTCATTTATTTATTTATTGATTTTCAATCTATAAAACCTTTTCATTTTGAGTTGTTCCCCAGTGCTTTTTTTTTTTTAACCTTCCGTTAGATATTAATATTTTGGGTGTGTAGGTGAAAAAGTTTAGCATTTAAAAAAACCCAAGTCTGATAAAAAATGAGGAGCTCAAGTGAAGATGGAAATGAATTAGTGAAGACAGAGACGGTTGTACAATAAAAATGAGAAAATAATTGAAGGTATTATTGTCAAATGTAAAATTAAATATCAGTCTGTATTGCTTCATATTCACGTTTTCGTTTTAAAAGCTACCCAATAAAATTTTTAAAATTTCATATTTTAATTAGGTTGAAAAGTCATTTTAAAAAATATATTTATTTTTATAAAATTATCTCAAATAATATTTTATATTTTTTTAAAAAAGTTACTTTTGAAATGTAAAACCGTAATTACCCAAACCGTGCCATAATGTGTACGAGCATTTCAGCCTCCCATAAAGTAGATTCACAATGGCTGTCCATTCTTATCCTTTCATTGGGGTGGGGAGAAAAATATGAAAAAAAAAATTAAAAGAAAAAAAAATTGAAAATTTATCTTCTAATTATTTCTTTTCTTATTAGGCAAAATGTAAGTGAAAAATATAAAAAAAATTCTATTATACAATGTAATATATTAAAAAATGTTAAAAATGTAAGGATAAAAATATAAAATTTAATATTGGAATAAATTATGTAATCATTTTACTATTTATGTATTTTATTTATTTATTATTTATTTATTTTACTATTTATGCATTTCATTTATTTATTTATTTTCAATCTATAAAACCTTTTCATTTTGAGTTGTTTCCCAGTGCTTTTTTTTTTTTTTACCTTCCGTTAGATATTAATATTTTGGGTGTGTAGGTGAACAAGTTTAGCATTTAAAAAAACCCAAGTCTGATAAAAAATGAGGAGTTCAAGTGAAGATGGAAATGAATTAGTGAAGACAGAGACGGTTGTATAATAAAAATGAGAAAATAATTAAAGGTATTATTGTCAAATGTAAAATTAGATATCAGACTCTAATGCTTCATATTTACATTTTCGTTTTAAAAGCTACCCAATAAAAATTTTAAAATTTTACATTTTAACTAGGTTAAAAAGTCATTTTAAAAAATATATTTATTTTTATAAAATTATTCCAAATAATATTTTATATTTTAAAAGTAAAAAGTTACTTTTGAAATGTAAAACCGTAATTACCCAAACCGTGCCATAATGTGTACGAGCATTTCAGCATCCTATAAAGTAGATTCGCAATGGATGTCCATTCTTATCCTTTCATTGGGGTGGGGAGAAAAATATGAAAAAAAAAAATTTAAAAGAAAAAAATTCTATTTTTGAAAATTTATCTTGTAATTATTTCTTTCCTTATTAGGCAAAATGTGAGTGAATGCCAGCAAAATCTGATTCTGTCATCAAGCGGAGCAGTTGGATTGAATAATATAATAATATACAAAAGATGATTCCGTCTCACGTCAATATAAAATAAACCCATTTAACCTTCCAAGCAAACCCAGAGCTCCTTGACTCTCTCTGACTGTTTTCGCCATGTCCACACAGCACGAGAAACTTCACATAGCGCTGTTCCCATGGCTAGCCTTTGGCCACCTGATCCCCAACCTCGAGCTTGCTAAACTCTTAGCTCAAAAGGGTCACGTCGTCACCTTCATATCCACTCCAAGAAACATCCTTCGTCTTCCCAAACTGCCTCCACATTTGTCTCCTAACATCAATTTTCTCAAGCTTCCTCTTCCTCAAGTCCCCAATCTCCCAGACGACGCAGAAGCCACCAGTGATGTTCCCTACAACGTAGTTCAATACCTTAAATTAGCTTACGATACTTTGCAACAACCTGTGACTTGCTTCCTTGAATCTTCAAACCCCGATTGGATATTCTACGATTTCGTTCCTTATTGGGTTGGATCCATCGCTTCCAAGCTCGGTATCAAGAGCGCGTATTTCAGTATATTTAATGCTTCATTGCTTGGTTTCCTCGGGCCAGCTCCGGTTTTGATGGGCCAAGAGTCGGTCCGGACGAAGCCCGAAGACTTCACCATCAAGCCCTCCTGGGTTCCGTTTTCCTCCACCGTGGCATGGCGTTACTTCGAGATCATGAAAATCTCAGACGGTATCAAACACAATGACTCGGGTGTTTCAGATTTGTATCGGTTCGGTGCCAGTATCGAAAACTGCGATATCGTGGTCATTCGGAGCTGTTCCGAATTCGAACCCGAGTGGCTTCGAGTACTTGAAGAGATCCACCGGAAACCGATCCTCCCCGTCGGCCAACTTCCTAACACCAACCAAAACAGCGACGCCGAGGACAAGAACGACATGTGGCGGCTGATTAAAGATTGGTTGGACCAGAAAGACAAAGGTACAGTGGTCTACGTGGCTTTCGGGAGTGAGGCGAAACCGAGTCAAGCAGAGGTGAACGAGATAGCGCTTGGCCTGGAGAAGTCGGAGCTACCATTTTGCTGGGCTTTGAGGACCCGGAGGGGACCAACTGACACGGAGGTTTTGAGTTTACCGGAAGGGTTCGAAGAGCGAACGAAAGGTCGCGGGTTGGTTTGCACCGGTTGGGCTCCACAGTTGAATATCTTGGGTCATGACTCGGTGGGTGGATTCTTGACTCATTCGGGCTGGTCGTCGGTTGTGGAGGCGGTTCAGGAGGAGAAACCCCTTGTGCTACTAACGTTCTTAGCGGATCAAGGGATCAACGCTAGGGTTTTGGAGGAGAAGAAGATGGGATATTCGATTCCAAGGGACGAGCGAGACGGCTCTTTCACTAGTGATTCCGTGGCCAACTCATTGAGACTCGTGATGGTGCAACCCCAGGGAAGGGTCTATCGAGAAAATATAAAAGAGATGAAGGACTTGTTGGTGAATAAAGAGAGGCAGGATCGTAGCGTAGATGGTTTACTCGATTATCTCAAAGCCCACAGGAAGTCAGGAACCCATAACATGACTTGTTATTGATGTTCTCAAAAGTCAAAATCGATGGAACTTTTAAGATTAAAGGTACAAAAACTGTACTCAATATTTTTAATCAGGTCTATCCATGTTCTAAAATAGTTTTTTGGCGCAATTCTACTTCAATGTTTTTCATTTAAGTACAATGTTAATCTACCATTATCTTAGATCCTGTTTTCTGTTAGTTTAACCATTAATTTCAATCTGGCGGCTTTGGTGACATTTTTTGTAAAATTAAAAACGAAAAAAAAAAGAAGAAAAGAACCAGACCCAACCTTTCGTCTTCTCCGATCATCTTCTTCACTTTTTCTTTCCCCTTCCCCTTCTCCTATCGAGCCAGACCGGCTTCCTTTCCCTTTTCTTGTCTTCACTGGCCTTCTCCTTCGTCCTCTTCTCCAATCGAACCAATCCCCCTTCTCCTTCATCATCTTCTCTAATTGATCTGATCGAACCAAACCCCTTTCCCCTTCGTTGCCTTCTCTTTCCTCCTTGTCTGCAGATCAGATTTGCCATCTTGATAAGGCCCTCGAGACTAGAACCATGTTTGATGCTGAGACGGTGGAGATATTGCCTTCGATCCAAGAGGCTGCCATCGAGATCTACCCTTGTAGCTGAAGCCATTACCTTCATTCAAGAGTGGGCACTTATGCGTGTGGTGATGGAATCGGAGGCTTATGTTTGTGTGGTCTTGATCGGAGACTCGGGCAAGTGTAGTATCCTGGTTCATGGCTTCGGATTCGTGTTTGTGTGGCCAATGCTTTTCAGCTTTGTGTTTTGATCCGATTCTCAAACTCACTACCTTACCTTCTCAAAGCGGCGCTGATTGGAGACTCATGCATCGGTAAATCCAACTTCCTCTCTTGATTCACTTGAAACAAGTTCGGCCTCAAGTCTAGGTCCACTACTGCGGTTGATTCAAAGGTTTGATTGCGAAGTTCCTTTGATTCTTCTTCTTCAACAACGATGATTTTGGGTTGGAAGGTCTGGGTTTGAGAATTGATTTTGGATATTTCATCTTCTTTGGATATTAATTTTGATTTTTGTTTATTTCGTTGTAAAATGTGGAGCTTGCTGGATTGTTATTGTGCCATAATGGACCTAGAATTTTTGTGTAAATGCCGGAATGGTGATTTTGGTTTGTTAGAGTTCTTGCCTATGGAGCTCATGGCTTGCTGGTTGCACTCTTGCAGTGACAAGAAGAAGAACGGTTAAGGAGGGAGAAGAGGGATTGATTTGTCGTATTGGGTGGATTTTTTTCTTTTTTTTTTTATTTTTTAACTATCAAAACATCCTGTGGGCTGTGGCTACTGACATGACAAGTTCAGAATAGCATAAAATGATTAAAATTTCAAAAATAACAATCAAATCAGTCAAAAGGTAATGGTAAAGTGACAATATACCTAAATAAATGAAAAATGATGGAATATTGTGGTAAAAAAATATTTTAAGATACATGGTGCATTTGGAGGAAAACATAGAGGGCAACTTTTGTATTTTATCCTAATTTTTAATATAATAATTAAATAAAAATAATATTTATATCTGTTTATATATATATATAAACAAAAAACTAGTGACAGTGCTATTCTCAATTCATATTTGTTAAGTTATAATATATTAAATTTCAATTTTTTTCACTTTTTTATGAATTTAAAATCCAGTTTATTCTCAATGAGACTTATGATAGTGCCGGTCGTGAAAATGTAAAAGGGACGAAGGACTTGTTTGTGTTTGCGAACAAAGAGAAACAGGACCAGTACGTAGATGGTTTGCTCCATTATCTCAAATCCCAAAGGCCACAGGAACCCATAACATGGATTTGTTATGGATGTTGTGAAATGTGAAGGAACCCATTACATGGACTTGTTATCGATGTCGTGTAGACGGACGGTAGTTTATATCATACTAATTAAATAAAAATAATATTTATATGGATTCATATATATATATATATATAAGCATAAAAAATAATGACAGTGCTATTTTCAGTTCAGATTTGTGAGGTCATAATATATTAAATTTTAATTTTTCAATTTTTCATTGGTTTAAAAGATAGTTTATACTATTTTTTTAATATTATAAGATACTTTATAATCAAATTACATTTTAAATGAGTTATAGTTAATCAATCAATCAACAACATTATACAAATCGCGTAGAATCAATTTCATTGGTCCAAAAATGCTTCAATCAATTTCATTGGTCAGTCTACCTTGGTTATATTTTAATTATCCTTTCTTATTAGTCTATTCCATTTTCAAATAACTGATTTATACATTTCCATCCAACTTCAATTTTCAGTGTGTGAATGATTTCATTTGGCCGTGATTTCAAATTTTGAATGAAGATACAGAAATTTTCGGGCTCATTAATTGTGATCACATTTCTCTATTATAACTGTTGACCCCATTCACTTCCCAGCAGTGTTTCATCAATCTTCTCCATTCTCCATCGTCTGTTCTATCGTTTTGAAATCCTTGGTGATGCTGAGTCCGAAAGGAAAGAGAAGAAAGGTGGTGGTCAATTATCCTCTGCGCTTGTCGCCATCTGTCTTTCTCATCATAATCCGTACAGTTGTTGTTCTTATGGTGGTGGTCAATGAACTAAGAACAAACCCTACATTCCTTGCATTTTGTCATTTTCTTAACCATGTTTCCGTAACACAAACATTCTCAACTCTTGAAAATTTGTATGATTTGAAAACGGCGAAACTCGCAGGATTTTGAAGATGGACTCTGGTATCAAATGTTCTCAACTCTTGATTCTACTATGATCAACATTCAAATTTTCAAGGCCGTCTTTAGAATCATTTGCCCTTTCGGGCACCACAAATTTGTAGCTGCAGACAATCTAAACAGGTATTGGTGTGAACAAATTGTGCAGGAACCATTAGTTTTGTTACAAGGGAAGGCATCGAAGACCATCATTACAAAGACAATTATTCATGAGATTAGAGAGTTACTTGCTAAAGATGGGTCTGTTTATTTTGAGTGGCATTATAAAGAAAACATTAGGAGAGCTAAATGTTTATCTGATATTTTTTGCTCCTTTGATAAAATCCCGCACTGCTGGCTTCTAATGGTGGGAAATTGATGAAATGATTGTATATGTTTTTTATTTTGTTTGCAGTACCTTTTGTAATAAGGGTTGTATGAACAGTTGGAACATACATGTGTATTCTTTTTTATTGAAGGAGTATAGGTTCATTATTTTCCTCGTATTCTATTCTGGAAGGGTATCTTATATTTACTTCCATGTAGTGACGGTGTATTTCTAATATAGCGTTTGAGATTTTCACAATTTAATCATTTTTTTAGATCTCATCATTGTAGTATTACCGAGGGAACGGGGAATACTACTTGCTCCTGTTAAAATATTCATGTGTAAAAAAGTTATTTCAAATTATCTCAATAACATACAATTTCTAAAGCAATAAATATAATAATGTTTAATAACACTATTAACTATTAACAATATTATTACATTCATAAGAAATTTTTGCACGAACTTAGTACACCATATCGTTTATGATTTGTTCAATAAAAACATGCCATATAGGTTTTTTATAAACAAAATTATACCTGTTTTTTTTTGTAAAAAAAAAATTGCAGTAGGGGGGCCATAGCCTTTACTTGCACCTTGTAAATTCGTGATTGCTTGCTCCTGTTAAAGAGAAAGTCTTATCTAGATTGAGTAAGCCATCTTATTTGTGATATGTCTAATAAAAATATAATATTTAAATGACATTAAATATAAATTAATTATGATATTAATAAAAATAAAAAGAGAAATAAAAAGAAATTAAATATGCATTATGTTATAAGAGTAAAATCAATTAAAATAATATTACATAAGATTTTATATAAATGATTTGGGACATTCTAATTCAATTAACCATAAATAACATGATATGCTTTGTCTATCTAAGAATTTTTTCTTATTAAAATATTAATGTGTAAAAAATTTATTTCAAATTATTCCAATAACCTACAACTTCTGAAACAATAGATATCATGAAGTTTAATAATACTCTATTAACCACTACCAACATTATTACACCAACTACTACAAAAAAAAAATGATAGTTATTTTTACTTATATATGACGAGCATAAATCATCATATATAAGTTTGTCATTTCCTCCTACCCCCTTTAAATGATGGGTATTTAATTGTCATTTATATTATACAATATATCACGATTATTAACCCTGTTGTATAAACAAGAACCATTTGAATTGAATATGACAATATATGAAAGACCAAATATGAAGGTTATCATAAATAATCGTCATATTTGCTTCTATTTTTTTTTATAAATAAGGGGCTACTTTAATGCATGTTGTTATAGCATATAAAAATTGTTTTTATAACCACTATTTTCAACATATCCAGACAATAATACAATTAAATTAGGATAGAAATTAATAGCAAAATTTTATAAATATAACTTATTCTAAATTATCATTTCTCTCAACTCAAAAAACATAGAAGATAGAGCTACATACATTATAACAAAGAGAAATTGGCGCCCAGAGAATTAATTGATGGTGCGAGCTATAAAATTGGGAGCATATTATGAAACTATAAAACTTTGACCATCAATGAACATTATCACCATAAGACAATTAAAAGGTAAAATGATTTTGAAAGGTTCAAAATAAGCCCAAGGATGATTTTATTTGCTTCTCATACTGTTACACTCAGCCACAAAGCAGAACATAGATATTGAATGGTGACAGGATTTGAAACCCACCTTGCTGAAGTAGAGATGCGATAGCGATAGGTAATGAGTGGTATTGGAACCCATCCTCACAAAAACATAGGTAGCCGCTTTCCAGTCAACTTCTTGCTCTTCATGCTTCTCGAGTTCATCCACTATCCATGATGCTATACCAATCTTCTATCATTACCACGAGCTCTGTTCGTCTGTAGATTCGCTCATAATTGTGCTAGATCTGTCCAAACTAAATCTCAACTATATGACTCCACCACTAGATCTGTCCACCGTTCATCCGCCCCACCCAAAACTCCACCTTGCGTTGTGCTGGTCTTCATCGTAGGTCTTAACTTGGGTTGCTTGTCATGTGTCTTGCACAGATCTCAACTGATGTGCGTTGAGCGTCGACCTTCTCAAGCTTTAGAGAGTTCCCTTGCAATTGGCCTATTGATGATGACTCAAACGACAGCAATGAAGGCGTAGAGGTTGAAGTTCAAGAGTTGGGAGCTAAAGAGGACTCAAAATCTATAAATGAGATGCTAGGGCACCAAATTTTCTTAAATGACGGGTGTTGGCAATTCCCCGTCATATATCTAACTATTATTATATTATATTATTTTTAAATATTTTAAAGCATCATATTACAGATATTATATTATTATTTTATTTTAAAAAAATATTAAAATTTAAAGCATTATATGATGGGTTTTTAAACAACCGTCATATATGATAATATATATATGATGGGTATTTTAAATACCCATAATATATTTATTAACTATCACCCGCTTTGTTATTATATGATGGATTTTTTTAAACAGTCATATTTTGGAGTATCTTATATTTAAAATTCTGTAGTAGTGACCTATGAGAAATTGTTGCACGAACCTGCCATGGCATGTTTTTAATTGGACAAGTAATGGATAATGTTGTGTATTGAGTTTATACGAAAATTTCTTACATTCACACTATAATAGGATTCATAATTACAATATTTATATTCTTTTAATTAAAGATGTATTCAAATAAATCATTCTTATGTCTAATGTAGCAACTTCATTATTCTTTTCAAAATTCACCTTACTTTTTTTTTCTCAATATAGCAACTTCTTTTAATTTTTTTCTTATTTTTAATTTAGTATCATATTAAAAAAATTCTCTCACATTCGTATAACTTCAAACTCATGCAACACACGGATTCGGTCTATATCAAGACATTTTATAACATAAAAAAATTTGAATATATGCCAAACCTAAATTCAATTTTGTTTAACATCAAAATATTTTTATTTAAATTATTTTTTGTAAATGTTATTACCCTATTATTTTTGTCATTTTTTTAAATTAAAAAATAGTGCAACTCACGGGATTAAATCTAGTTATCTTTAAAATTATATGCATGTTCTTTTTATGTTTAACCCTACTT